AATAAATCACATATATACTCCACAGTAAATAATTTCAAATATCATACTGGATGTAAGTGGTGATGTAATAAAATATACTCCGTACGAAGTATTCTACTTACACGATCACAGTTAGAAACTTAAACTAAATTTAGAATCATTGCATAAGGAATAAGAAAATAAGAGTGCAGCAGGGATAAATATAGCATAACGAATTGTAAAGAGAAAGAGTTCAGAATAACATTAAAAGAATATAAGAGTATGATTTTCAAAGAAAAAAACATTGGGAGAGGCTTACAGGGTAGAAGGTGGAGGATGGGCAGTCGCAGAAGAGGAAGCAAACCGCGAGAGAGCAGGGAACGAGCAGGGAGAAGGTTATTTTGTTTTGGATTGTAGAATAAGGGGCTGTCTACTTTTATTTTCATTAAATCTTGTCTAAGACGTGTGTCTGAATTAAGTGTTTACTATGTGTGTAAACACATAGTAAATTCCCAATTACCCTCCTTCTGCCTGTAACAAGTAACATTCTTCACTTTATCTATCCTGAATGATATTCTGGTTGCATAAAAATTATTACAATGCCAATTTAGGAAGCAAATAAGTTCACAAAACACAATTATATGAATTCAATAATATTATGCCTAAATATGAAATTTAAGCATTTCCTACTAATCTATTTCTACTAATCTATTTGCAAAAACATCTCATTTAATTGTCATATAATGTATGTTGTATGTGCACCATCTCGTTCCATCTATTTCTTCTTCACTTCCTTTACTTTCTCCTTCTTCATCGTTGAATATTGTCTCATCCTCCCACTCATCGAACAACTTATTTTGAATGTTCTATTTTCTTCTTCACATTGTATTTTCATTGTCAGAAATTTTATCAAGCTATCGGAATATAGCAAATTTTACCCTGAGGAGAGAAGAAGAGAACAAAAAAATATAAAATCAGATGACATACCTTGATGAAGAAGGCGGCGTTGCGATTTCTCTTCGTTGATTTCGTGGTAGCTCGCAAAGTGCTGGGAGCGGTGATGTTCACAGATTTGTAGTCGACTGCTGCTTGTATGCGATGAAATGTTAGAACGGGAAGCAAGGTTAGAGGAGGCAACCAACATAAAGAGCCGTGTTTGGTAGCAGTAAAATGGGTTATTTTGGTTATTCGGCTGAAATTTACGAAGTTTTGGTCGAAGTGGCTGCATTGCCTGATTCTGCTGATTTGAGAAAAAATTATTTTCAAAATATATTTTATTAATTAAATAAAGAAAAAATTATATGTAAAACTAGCTAAAATAGTCATCTACAGTAACTGCAGCCAATACAGCCAGAAAAGTAACTTCAACCTTACTTTTTCTGCTTATTACACAATTCAGCGCGCGAAAGAAAAAGTTAAGTGTTTGGTGAAAAAATTGGCTGATAAGCCGAAAAACAATGTTGTCAAACGGCCTCAAAGTCATAAAGACGTCTAAATGCTAAGGAGTGTTAAAATAGAGCTGAAGAATAAATCGTGAATTGACCGAGCCAAAATATCACATTAGAAAGTCATAACACCGGTATATAACTTTGTCCAAAAAAAACACCTGTATACAACTGAATCATTAGGGGGTGTATTCAATATGGATTGTTGTGGTCTTTTTTTAATTCATAGACTTTAAAATCCATAGACTTTTTTATGAATAAATTCTATGGATTTTTAAATCCATGGATAAATTTACTGACTTTCAAAAAGTCCATAGACTTTTAAATGCGGACCGCCACGGCTGGTCGTCAAAATTTTCACCTAGATTGTCGCTACCGATATGCCTGTGACCTGCCCGCCTCCATCACCGGAGTTCCCTACTGTCGTCATCGGACTGACCCGCCACCAACAAAATGGCTTTGGTTATGAAAGGGAACTTGGGACAATTGGACTGACTTCTAAAGCTATAAGGGTTGGCTTGACATGGTCCCCATTGTAATATTTATTCTTATTTCTGAAAAAATCAAATATATAATCATACTTTAAGAATATTGCTATGTTTTAGTCCTATCTTGAGTGATTTCCTTTATATAATACGAAGTACGATAAGAAATAGATAAATAAATAAATAAATAAATAAATAAATAAATAAATAAATAAATAAAAACTAAATAAATAAATAGAAAAATGTGTAATTCATATAGCAACACAAAGTTCTACAAAAATAAATGAAGCATAAGAATTCAAATTTATTTTTATTAAAAAAACTCAAAGTTTCAAGAATGCTCAAGAATTTTAGCCATTTTATTAATGATTAAGAACATTAATCGTTACACAAGCGTTACACTCATTGCTACATATGGTACAAACATAGATGTAGTCGAGCTTCTCTACTTAATGATTGTTTTCTTTTAATTTCTATCTTGTAAAAACATGTATATGTATTTATGGTTATATATTTATTAACTAGAAATTATATTTTTATGTGTAAGCGATTTAACGATGAAAGAAAGTAATAGTTAAAATATTTATTTTCTTAATGGTTAACTGACTACGTACCAGAATTGCATTGATGTAATACTATCAATTCTTATATCGGTTCTTTTAAAAACTTCTAGAATCGAATCAATATATATGGGATTAATGAATCGAGGGGGTGGGGTGGGGCCGGCAAGCTGAAGAAGAAGGAGGATCGGGGGAGGGGGGGGGGAGGGGGGGGTGGCTTTACTAAAGAAGAGGAGAGTTGGGGGGAGGGGGGGTTAGGTTTGGCCCGGGGCCGGTCTGACCAGCCCGGCCCGGTGGACAGGTACCGGTAGCGGGCCTAGGCCCAACCCGGATGTTAATTAGGGCGGTTCCGGGACTGCATATTTGGGGACTGGCCGGCCGGTCTGGTTTTTTTTTTTTGTTTGTTTTTTGGGTTTGGGCCTATGGTTGGTGGGCTGGGATGTGTGTTTTGAGGGATTTGCGGGTGGGCCCGACCCGGAACTGGACCGGGCCCGGTTCATCCCTAGGGGGGAGGCTAGGGGGAGGGGAGGGACGGGGTGGGACGGGATGAATAACCTATATAAGAAAAGTCCACGGAAATCTTTGGTGAAGAGAAGAGACAATTGCATAGAATTTTTGCACTAAAAATAAGTTAAAAGTTCACGAGAATCCATGATTTTAGAAGTCAATAAGATGAACGGAACTTTGAATACGCCTAAACTTTTATAGAATTTTAAAAGTCTGCATTGAATACACCTAAACTTTTGTAGACTTTTAAAAGTCCACATTAAATACACCTAAACTTTTAAAATCCATGGACTTTCTACATTTTGCCACTAATTCCTAATACAATACACCCCTAGACATTAAGTCACGTTTTCTATTCCGCCCATTAAGTCGAAAGTAAACAGACCTAAGTAAAGTCTAACTGTAGAATACCAGTGTCCAGATGACTTGGCTTTTAGGGTTCAATTAAAAACTTTAGGGTATACGACTAATACGAGGTAAAATATGAAGGATGGTGAACAAACTGAACACTAGACTTATATGTGAATCTTAGAGTCTATTTAATAATATTGAAACCGACTAAATCGGTTGAAATTTATAAGATTGTGGCGGAAACGATCGAGTGGGTTGAATCTGTTGAAATTATGATTGAAGTGACTGAAATAGCTGATTAAGAAAATAAAGAAAAGTTATATGAAAATAGCTAAAATGAATCTCTACAATAACTTCAGCTAATTAGCCAGATAAATAACTTCAACTTTACTTATTTTGATTATTATACAAACCGACGTGCGAAATAAAAAATTAACATCAAATGTGAATACCATCAAATGAGCCCTTAAATTGGCCGCTATAATTTAAAATTGATCATGAATTTAACATATTCTTTCATGTTTTGACACGTATTTGACAAGTATGGATACCATCTGACGCTTTCTTTTTCTTATGTCATTCCATATGTGTGGTTGATATTGGAAAATAGTCGTGCATGGTCATATTTTGAGAATTGTCATGAATTTTAGACATATATAAGTATTTTCCTTCTTATATTAATAAAATCATGATTCAGACATACTGATATAATCGGAAATGATGCCAAACATGACAACTTATATAGAAGAGTAAATTTTGTACTTTATAGTATTCGTATTAAAAATGGAACGGTCGTAATTTACCCTCAAAAGTAGGGTGACAAATTGTTGAGTTGTAAAATGGACTCAATATATTTAAAGGGGAAAAAATATTTAAAAAGTCTAAACTTTGAGAAGTAAACACTCTATACACGCATATGTAATATAAGGATGTTTTTACTTGGACCGTTTTTAGTCTCAGACCAGATTGAACCAGATCATATCAGACCAGACCAAACCAGACTTGGATAGTTATAAAGTATACACAGAACAGAGACCAGATGTTTACCAGACCAAACTAGAAAATTTCAGTTCAAGTAAAATATCCTAAATATCTCACTTTATTAAAAAAGTTATTTTAATTGTTTTGTCTAAAAATAGAATGGATATATTCGAAAGAACTAAGTTATCCCCCAAACTCATTCAACAAATATTGATTAAATTGTACTCGATAGGAACATTAAAAAAAATCCATTTCTTCCTATGTAAATTACCTGATTGGGCTTATTTATTAAACGACTGCAAAATTTGGTTGTGCAGTTATGGCATGACAAGAGGTTGGGACTTCAGGTCATTAAGAATATGGCAATGAATCTCGAGCCCAACGATGATGAGCATACTGCAAAAATATGATCTATTGCTTTTTACAGATTTGATGGTTTAACCTATTTTGAACTGGTAATTAATTACTCCGTATGAAAGCTGTCAACTGTCAAGAATAAGGATGTTTTTACCTGGACGGTAATTTGTCCCAGATCAGACAGATAATTATAAAAATATAAAGAGACCAGACATTACCAGACCAGATCAGCAAATTATAAAAACATCCAAGGACAATCATAAGCTTGATTTATTTATTAGATTATGATGTTACGAGCCTTATTATTAGCGACACGTCCACACCCCAGAAAATCCAGAATAGAGGAAATGGGAGCTGGAAAATGCAAAGTTTGCTACCAAAGAGCATAAAGTAAGAAAAAAACTTAAAGTACGATTCTCGACACTTTTCAAATTCTCTAACCTCGGAATAATTATTACAAATTTACAATAAAGTTCTATACGTGGATGAATACTTCTCAATGAAAGAACACTACATACAAAATTTCGGGAACGAAAAATAAGAAATGTTATTTAAGCTTACATTCTCAAAGGCAAAAAAATCAGAATGCCTACATAGCTTTTTCTATGAACAATGTTCCCAAATTGTCCATGTCCATCTTTCAAGACCCAAACCCTTAGTTTCCTCCCTGTGTTACCTGAAGTAGTAGACTAGTAGTTCCTGATTTGTTTCATCAACTGATGAAATAAAGTTCCACTTGTGACTGAAACTTTCCCTTACATCACCCCTGAAGGACAAAACGTCTGGAAAAGAACATGAGTTCTTTCAAGCACATCCAGGACAAGAAGATGCATTTAAGCATACATTTCTTACTACCACCAGATTCTATTGACAATAACACCACTCATATGTACAACAGTGGAGCAATAGAGAGATGACTGGAGAGTGGAAACACATCCGCTTTTCAATTTACAAAAGGTGTTGAAGAACCACTTGCCATACCCATCAAGAACGAATCATCTAAATTGTATCAAGGAGAAAGGTTAATTAATAAATAGATGAAGAAATCAGTAATACAAATTATTATTAGCATATAGAGGATAAGTTTCTTGTAGAATAAACACACATGCAATGCAATACTCTGTGCAAGTATAATAACATTGCCTACGATCCAACACGATACACGAGTGACCAGTTTAGAGTATAATTTGACAAACCTCACAGATAGGGAAGATAAAATAAGATTTTGCCATTTTAGGAACAAACTAACATGTTGCAACTTGCAACCAGGTAGAATACCTTTCTAACTTAAAAAAAGATTGGGGGTCTTACCATCCTGTTAGGGGTGCTTCTCCCCTGTATTGTCTTCTTTGCTGCATTGGCAAAAGCAATGGCAGCTTCTGCATCAGCTTCTGCAGCCTCTGCTTCCCTTGCAGCCTGTTCAGCTTCTGCTACAGCAGCTTCTGCTTCGGCAACAGCTTCAGCAGCGGCAGCTGCTGCTTCTTGAGGAGTCATGCTTCTCATCTTGGCCAATTCCAAATCAATCTCAGATTTAGTGAGCAAATTATTAACATCATGTCCAACCCTATTAGGTGAGATTCTGTCCCTGCCCTCTGTCAATAGAATGGGGTGATGGATTTTTCTATTGTTGTTCAATGATGAAGGTGGAGCTATCCTATATTTCCGGGACATCTGCAAAAAAATTGAGGAAAAAGATCACTTTTAATATCATTATTATGATGACCAAGCAAAGAGATACCAAATAGTACCACACCTTCACAAGTTTCCCGGTCGCTGTTAAATACTTCAGTTTAGCGGAGAGTAGCCTTTTAAATTTTGGAGGTGCCCAGTATTGGTCCTACAAGAATAGAGGACGTGTTTGATTTTCAAAAGAAATCAAAATTTTAATGACAACAGTCCCTAACTCCTAAAAGCATAGAATACATGAATGGCAATAATATCACACGGATGTTTGCACAGTTTTGTCTTCAGACAGGCAGTTTACAAGTTCAAGATGAGATTTACCTCTATGTATGCAGCAATAGTTTTCTTGCTGGATCCACGAGGCTCTTTCAAGTTTATTATAGCTTCCATAACAAGATCGTCCAACCTTTACCATGCAAAAAACAGGCAGGATTCGTACAAAAAATTATCAGAAACCAAATGTATCTAGATATGATATGCAATACCCCACAATCTATTGCATTTTTCAATTGCACCACACTTTATAAGACTTTTTTTCCGGGAGTATACGATGCGCCACATTAGAATGCCATGTTTTGTACGCAACGCCAAATTGATGAAAAGATGCAAGTAATTAACACCTGTGTAATCCATACATCACGACATGTTAATGCAGAGAAAAGAACCTTATGATAGATCTTTTTGTGCCCCCACTACGTGGAGAGCCACTAGAAGTTTCAACTTGCTTGTCTTCACTAGTTTCCTCCTCACTTTGATCCACATTTGTAAGAGCCAACGAGTTCTCATCCTGCTTAGGGGTTCGGTGCACCCTTTTAAGTGCTACTTTTGACTTCTCTCGAGATCCCCATCCATTTGCCATTACAGTCATATTTCTCCACTTGTCCTGGTAATATATTTTCATACCAATTGAAGATAAATTCGGGAGGTGCTTAAGAGAAGAACATGTTGTAGAAAGATTCTATCATTGGCGTTCCTAAAAAGTCCACAATTTTTTTACTGAAAAACGTAGAAACCAAGTATAGCAACGAGAAGTTGTACCTTGAGATCTACATTTGAACGAAGATATAATACTTTACAATATTCTGCGTCCTTAAGAATCGTACGCCATTTGCCTGGACCATGCTTACGTACTCCGGCTTTGAGAGCGGCTTCTTCTTCAGGAGTCCATTTTTGTTTAGGAGCACCCATTAAAGCTTTGAACAAAACGAGATTTTTAAGGTAGAATGTGAGAATTGTTTGTGGATAAAAGGGTTTCTTAAACAGCATTGTGCCAAAACTCATCATGCATGTTAAGACTGGTACCATAGAGATAGGAAAACAAGCATTACACCACCAAAGGATATAATCTATGAGCATTAAATTCCTCAAACATGTAGCAAAAGCTATATCATCATTCCATGCTTATTACCCTGATCATGTGAAGGCACACATGCCATGGGTATCCATTACAAGTTACGATTTGAATGCCATTTTCCCAAGACTGTGAACAGTCTATCATTCATTGCCACCACCAGCTAAATTAATTAATTAGTAATATCACCAAAAGGAAATCTAGAATTGGTCCTAAAACTATGTAAACCAACCCAACCCAATAAGTCTTGTATGAAACTTGGAAGAATGGTCTGGGGTGAGATATTGAGATGTAGCAGACCTTACATCTAACGCTATGAGGCTAGGATTAGACACACTTTTTCCAAAACTAAGTATTAGAGATTTAGATTCTATTTAAATAGTGAGTATTGATCACATTGAAAACTTCCAAAATAAATTTATCTAACCTTTTATTGCCTGAGATCATAATTCGTATAGGCTAATTGCAGAAAGATATTCGAGAATAGAATCTAAACCCGAAAAGGAGCAATGTAAAATAAAGCTAAAATAAGGCAAGCTTCAGAAACTTTTGGGATTTCTGAAGGTAATAACAAAAATAGATTCAAACATTGTGGTCTTGATTCAGATTAATCAGCACCGAAACAAATGATTATTCATATCGATCAGTTTCCAGACAATTTTGCAATATCAGATGGTGGGATCATACTGGAATAACCTAAATTCAAACCCTAGATCTGAATGAAAACTAACATTTCCAAAACCGAAATGAAAATTTAGTAAGTAAAAAGAAATCAAACCTTAATCAATTTTCAAAATCACCACAAAAGCATTTCAGGCATAGCTATTTGGCGTTGCAGCATTCAGGATTCGGAAAAGCCTATACCATGTTTTGTTTCCTGCGTTTTATATGGCCTTGGACCCGAGTACTATTTAACTGCCATATTTTGGGATCAATCCGGTGACTTTAGTTCCTCTCCAAAGGGGTCAGTTGGGCCCAAACAGTAAATGATCACTGTTTCTATTTTAAAAAGGGAAAACTGTCAAATAGGTCCTCGAACTTTCATAAAAAGGTCAATTAAGTCCTTCTATAGGAGGTTCTGTCCGGCCGTCGCGATTTGGGGTAGTTCCCGGTGAATTTTTTTGATGAAATTTTTTAAGTATCTTATTCACGAAGTCTAGTTTACTCATACCAAATTTCAGCTAAAAATTCAATTGGAAACACATTCAAATTAATTCTTGAAGATAACTGCGCATTTTTGCGTTCTCGAATTAATTTGAATGCCCTGCCGATTATATTTTTAGCTGAAATTTGGTATGAGTAAACTAGACTTGATGAATAAGATGCTCAAAAAATTTCATCAAAAAATTCCACCAGGAACCGCCCAAATCGTGATGACCGGACAGAGTCTCCTATAGAAGGACTTAATTGACTTTTTAATGAAAGTTCGAGGACCTATTTGACAGTTTTCCCTTTTAAAAATGAGAAAACTGTCAAATAAGTTCTCGAACTTTCATACAAAGGTCAAATAAATCCTTATACAAGAGGCTCTGTCCGGCCGTTGCGATTTAGGGCAGTTCCCAGTGGAATTTTTTGATGAAATTTTTTGAGCATCTTATTCATCAATTCTAGTTTACTCATCCCAAATTTTAACTAAAACTTCAATCGGGAACGCATTCAAATTAATTCTTGAATATAACTGTGTAGTTAAATGCGCAATTATCTGTGCAGTTAACTGCACAATTATCAACTGTGCAGTTGATAATGTAACCACTTTTGGATAGAATTGGAAAAAGTGATTAGTATTAGATTGACCTTTTAGGATAAAACTCCGGGTCTTAACAATAATATTAATTTCAAGATAGATGTTCTAAAGGGGCAATATAGAGAAATCACTTGGTTTGAGAATTTAGAGCAATATAAAAATGATTCTGAGAATTGTGAAACTCAGCAAGTTTATAAGCTCAGCAAGCTCAACAAGTTAATGTGAAATGAGATGATCTGTGAATTTAGAAGATGTGATCAATGACATAAAATAATAATGTATGTTAGAGGGGAAATCTTACGTCGACGAAGGAGATTAAAATAATAAATGTTGAACAAATCAATATTTGTCATCTTCTTCTATGCCAAGCTCACAGTTATAATCTTGAAATCAATAAGATAAATAATAAGAGAGTTGTAATTGTTGAGATGCAAAAATTCGTAAACTTCAATTTATTTGTTAGTCATAATAACTGTGGAAATAAAATGTAATGTATATAAAAACGTGAAGAATTGAATTAGGGATGAGAAACAAAAGCTTAACAAAGACAGTCCCTCCCAAAAATTTCCAATGTATGGAAGATACGTAAGAGAGTAAATAAAAAAACAAACAAAAAACCAAGAAACCAAAATAAAACTACATCAAAGCATTAAAATACTTATATCATCCATTATATTGGTTTTACACGGTACAGGGCATCAACCATATATTATAACTAGTTATTTTTACGCGCGATGCGCGATTGAGTTGATGCCCAATGGGGCAATATCAATAATCTCCAAGACAAATAATATTCGTTAACTAAATTTTATTGATATGCCATATTTTTAAAAGAAAAAGAAGCGGATGGAAAATCCATGGATGAGGATATGGCAGAAGGCCACAAACATTTATGACACTTCATTTAAGTGATACTCATTATTATCACTAACATTTAATAACAAGAGGCGAGGTAGGGCTGAACATATTTTCAAAAAAATATAGTAGTACTGAATCACTAATTAGAGGTAGGGTAAAATACAGACCTTATATATACAAGGGTAATGAACTTTTGCATTACTCTCTTTTTAAGGCCGATTGTGTGATTGAGTAAACACACATTTTCAAGGAAAGTTAATTAAATGTCAATAAGAAGGGTTGGAGAAATCAATAAAAATGTTTCTGTATTAATTTTACAATCTTCATTCTTTGGTTTTCCCAGTATACTGCTGACCAAGACATGTACATTTATTGAATGAATATGCCCACACTGCACCCTAACCATCGTAGATGATAGTGCCAACTTCATAAACCACATCACATTATATACTCGATGCCCAATGATGAATAATTACTTCATGAATCCCTGCAAAAAAAAGCAAACAAGTAGAAGAGGAACTATCATTAGTCCTTCAAATAAAAATGGAAGAAAGTTGAACAGCATGATGCACAGAAGCGATTCATCATATTGTTTCAAGTCCATTTTATGAATTAAACATAATTCTTTTTTATCAAGTAGACTAATTTCAGGTTGCATTTTATTATCTTTAGTCAGCTAAACTATGTTTATGTTTATGTTAATGTAAAAAAGGCATGCATTCTTGTCAAGTTGAAACCGGGGTAAGCTACTAATTTCAGTAGCTTAATTAGCAGTAGACTTAATTTATAATTTCATCTATTATAACACTGTTTGTGACTTTTTGATACCAAAATAAGTTTATCCCGATTAAATAAGTATACCAAAATAGTCTTTGTAACAGAAACTTGAAGGCATTTTATCCTTACAAACTTAAGTGTCGCCAATGATACCAGGCTTACATTGTTTTTAGTGTTATCACAATTCACAATATTCACGAACTCTTCTCTTAACAGCTAAAATCCTTATAAGGATTAAAAGTCTCTTGAAAATTGTTACTCCGTATTAGGTTTAAGTTTCCAGCTCAAAACTCTATTGGAATCCTAAGGAGAAAGTTTAATTTGAGATCTCTTCATTCCTTCTAATGTAACCTCCTGGGAAACATATAAACTTTTTGCAGTTGTCATAATATAAAGGAACATTCCAAGAGGTTAAGGCATGTACTAAAGGTCCAAAGAAATTAGTTTCTTCATAAATCTCTGAACTTAATAGGTAAAACAGAGGGTTTTATGAGGATAAAAATGCAGGTATTTAGAAGAAGAATAAGTACACTCACTATAATATTTCATCCCACAACTCTATCAGAAGCCTAAGAAGAAAGTTTAATGTGAGATCCCTTTATTATAACCCTTACAGTGACCCTTAGACTGCATTTAGCTCTGTATAACACTTTAGTATAAGCCTGAAGGGAGTAGATTTATAAGTGCCACATCAAAAAATCCTTCATATATAAAAATAAGAGAAATGAAGAATGCATGTGTTACCACCATAGTTATAAGCTCATGATTGATTTCTCTAGAAAAGTTTATCTAAGGATTCTTTGAAAGGAGTGATTATGTTCTGGACATTGCATGTCCTTATAGGTCTGATCTCCTTCAAATTTTGAGGATATTCCAAGTTTGGAATATCCTGAGGTCTTATTCCAAGTTAGGTTTTTTGAACTCAGAGTATTCTGGGGTGAATATTTTTTAATGTAAAAATTAAACATTTTTAGAATACACAATAGCATAAGGCTCTATGTTGGATTTGGCCATCTGAAGTAGTCTTCTCCAATATGCATTTTGTAATATATTAAAGTCTTCAATTAAATAATCTAAAGGGAGATTTCCCAAAATGGGAGTAAATGAAGTTTGAAATTCCAAAATATGACTACTATGTTTTTATTCTCGAAATAGGACTAACATGTCAGTATTTACTGTCATCTTGTAAACGTAACTGTCAAATAGTTGCAGTATAGTGCAATTTATATGACAGTATTTATTATAATTAATGACAATATTTTTCAATCATGGCAGTATTTTTTTTTATACATGACAGTAATAACTTCTATATCGGGAAGAAAAACATAGTAGTCCTATTTTGGAATTTCAAACTTCATTTACTCCTATTTAGGGTAATTTCTCTAATCTAAAGGATGGCACTAATACTAAACGATTTTCCTTGTATAAAACTTCTAGTGAGGAGTTATTTTCAAAAAGTATACGATGGTTTTAATTTTCTTACAATCAGGTTTATCCAAATTCCAAATCCATCCTCAATTTGTTAGAGAAACTTTATACACATAGTTGTAAGTGTAGATTTACACTCAATTTCTTAAATTCAAGTTTAAACTTTATGGGTTAAAATAGATATTCAATGGTTTTCTTCTACCAGGCAAGGTTGTATGTTCCAAATAGAAAAAGATTAGAGCAGCACTCCCGAAAAGATTAAAGTCTTCAATTATACCAACGATGTTATGGAACTCAAGACTCTAATAATTAACCAATACACTCTTAACTAAACTAACCACTTAAGTTGATTTTAGAAATAAAACTATATTCTTTTCTGGGTAGCTAGCAACTTTACAAGCTAGAAACTCCCCACCTCTAAGCATATATAGCACTCTGTACAGTCATTAGTTCAGAATCTTATGTTTGTTAATTACTCATGAATTCTGTATGTTCCCTCTTGAACATTTTATCAAACGCAATGGATTCATAACAAAGTCAACATAAGCTAGACTTGATTCAAATGATTCATAACAAGCTCAAAATCTAACTGGCTTCAAATGAACTGCATATATCCTCCAGACAGTGAAGGAAAGGAGGGAGAAGGGAAACATACAGTGCAGAGGAGACTTGGAAGCGCGGAAGTTTTTCCAAAGCTGGGCATAAACCCATTTATACATGCCGAAGGCAGCATGTCTGGAGGATGAAGGTCGCACAGCATCCAAAGCTGTGGATCGAATGATAAAGAATTGATGAACATAATAATATGAGGCATTAATGAGGAAGGAGATGAGTATAGCTGAGCAAAAATCGGAGAAACGGAAGAGAAACAAACCTGGATGCCGAAACGACGGGAGCCAGCGGGGTTAGGGAGTGGAATAGTGGATGAAAGGTACGATGGGGGCTGTGAGGGAGGAGAAGTGTGCGAACGCGATCTGAGGAGCTGCTAACAGTGCAAAGTGCGAACCAGGGTTAGACGCAAACAAACAGACGGAAGTCAATAACGGGGGCTAAACGGAAAACTCAATCCCTTTAAAATGTACATAGGATAAAGCACAATGTACCATAAGATAAAACAAATGATTACACCAACACA